ATGCAAGGATTAAAGGCATGAGCCACTGTGCCCCACTGAAATGCTATTTTTATTTTGCTTTTGAGACAGAGTATCCCTCTGTCACCCAGGTTCGAGTGCAGTGGTGAGATCACAGTTCACTGCACCCTCAGTCAAACTCCTGGGTCCACAGTTCACTACACCCTCAATCAAACGCCTGGGTCCACAGCGTGGGTAACCCTCCATCTGGGCACCGAGGAAGGAAAGCTAAGCAGATCCTGGCACAATTAGTGCCTGAAGAATATCTCAGTTTATAGTGTTATTACTCAGTTATTTCCTTCATATGATCCTTTATATATAATCATATATTAGTTTATAGAATTAGTGTCTGAAGAATATCATACTACTCAGTTATTTCCATATATATATATATATATATATATATACACACACACACACACACAAACACACACATATATACAATTATATCTTAGTTCATAGTTGGAGGAATGTCTGGAGCAGACACAGTACAGAGCATGAATTAGGGGATAAACAGCTATACATATATAAGCATATCTTGCTTATAGTCAGAGGAATGTCTAGAGCAGACATGGTGCAGAGCAAGATTTAAGGGAAAAACAGTTACACCAGGACAAGAACATGGCCCAGGCGGCAGCGTTCAGTATAGTAAAGATGCCCACTGTATGGCAAGCTTGGAGCAAGAGCCACTCGTCCTGAAAAAGGAGTTGTAGTACCTTGCATCCAGTTCTTGTGGAAGGCTGCCCTCAGACAAGCAATCCCGCGAGTCTCCGGCTTAAAACCTCTCTGGTATAATCACACCTTGGTGACTGTGAACTTTATCAGCCCTTGTTACTGTGCTATCTCAAAAGTACCTTCCTATAGAAATCACTGGAAGCTGCCAGCAGGTGGCTATAGACCTGGTCAGCTCTACTACTATGCTGACTCAAGAGCATCCTCCTACAGAATTCCTTAGAAATAGCCTGCCCCTAGACAAGAAGTATTGCACACTGCACTCTTCACCCATGGCACACAACCCACCTCCTAGCCTAGGTGACTTAATGGGGGTGGACCCCTTGTTTATTGCGCACGTGATTGTCTCAACCCTATCACTGTCCTTGAGATGACCTCACTCACTACCCTTCCCCGTCTTGTACCCAATAAATACAGACGCTCCTGGACGTTCGGGGCCTCGCCTGTCTCTGCTTGTAAGTGGTGTGGCCCCCGAGCCCAGCTATTTTTTCCAGTCCTCTGTGTCTCGTCTCTTTACTTCTCTGATCCAGCGCCCCAGCACAGCGATAGGGAACACCCCACGACCCTGCGGGGCTATGGCCCTACACGCAGTTCACTGCACCCTCAATCAAACTCTCTGTGTTGACATGCTGGGATTACAGGCATTAGCCACCATGCCCCACCGAGATGCTGTTTTTGTTGGTTTTGTTTTTTGGGAATCTCCCTCTGTCACCCAGGTTGGAGTGCAATGGTGAGATCACAGTTCACTGCACCCTCAATCAAACTCCTGGGATCCTCTTGCCTCAGCCTCCCAAGTAGCTGGCACTACAGGTGCACAACACCGCACCTGGCTAATTTTTGTATTTTTTGTAGAGACGGGGTTTCCCTATCCTCCCCAGGCTTAAACTCCTAGGCTCAAGCTATTCATCCGCCTCAGCTTCCCAAACTGCTGGAATTACAGGCATGAGCAACCCTGACCTACCTTCGGCACCCTGTTGACAACCCCTTGATCATGAATGTGGTTTGTTTCTAGATTACTGATTCTATTCCATTGATGTATCTATTATTTTTACTATTATTATTTTTGAGACGGAGTCTCGCTCTGCGCCTAGTCTGGAGTGCAGTGGCACCATTTTGGCTCACTGCAACCTCCATCCCCCGGATTCAAGCGATTCTCTTGCCTCAGCCTCCCAAGTAGCTGGGATTACAGGCGCCTGCCACCACGCCTGGCTAATTTTTGAATTTTTAGTAGAGACGGGGTTTCATCATCTTGGCCAGGCTAGTCTTGAACTCCTGATCTCGTGATCCACCTGCCTTGGCCTCCCAAAGTGCTGGGATTACAGGTGTGAGCCACAGCGCCCAAACTGTTTATTATTATCACTATTATTATTGAGACAGAGTCTCGCTGTCACCTGGGCAGGAGTGCAGTGCTAAGATCTTGGCTTACTGCAAACTCTGCCTACGGGTCAAGCGATTCTTCCGCCCCAGGCTCCCGAGTAGCTGGGATTACAGGCGCGCAACACCACGCCTGTTTTGCCCAGACTGGTCTCAAACTCCTATGCTCAAGCGATCCTCTCGCCTTGGTCTTCCAAAGCACTGGGATTGCAGACGTGAGCCACCCAGCCTGCCTCTTTTGGGGATTCTTGCAGCTTTTCTGTATGTACAAAGTCATGTCAAAGCAGAAGTTGGACAAAGGAAATACTCCCTTGATCCCCTGAGCATTCCACAAGCTAAGAGTCTTTTTCCATTGGTCCAGCCCTCGCCCATTGATTCCGCCCTTTCATTGGCTCCGCCCATTGATCAGCCCCGCCCATTGGCCCAGCCCCCTTCCATTGGCACCGCCCCACCCACTGATCAGTCCCACCCATTGGCCCAGCCCCGGCCCATCCCTCACCCATTGGTTCCGCCCCCTTCCAGTGGCTCAGTACCTGCCCTTTGGTTCAGCCCTCGTTCGTTGGGGTTCAGCACTCGCCCATTGGTTCAGGCCTTGCCCATTGGTTTAGCCCTCCACGATTGGCTCACTCCTTGCTGATTGATTCGGTCTCCACCCATTGGTCACTCCCCTGCCCACGGGCCCCGCCCTCCCCCCCGGGCCCACTGCGGGCGGGGGACACTCGCCATTCTCCAGCTGCCCAGCTGCGCGGTGCTATAGGGAGGGGCTGGCTTCGAGCGCGGAGAGCTGCGGGGCTCTGGGCGCTGTTTTCCTGTGAAACACGACGGCGGCGGCCAGAGCGACCTCAGCACTGCGTCCTGGGCTCACTGGCGGCTTTCCCATCCCCATGGGGTTGCCTCGGTCAGCCCGCCCCTTTCTTCCCGCCCGAGCCCCGCTCTGGCTGCGCGTCCTCGGCTGGCTCGGGGAGGGCTCCGCTCCTTCCTAGGCAACCCCGAGTCCCCGCCTCACGGCCTGCCCATCTCCTCTCGCTCTAAAGCGGCCGCTGGAGGAGCCCCCGGCTCCGGCGGGTCCAGGTCAAGGTCCTTTGGGCTCCTGTATGTCCCACACCTCTTGCATCCCGCACCCGCGTCCCACACCCACCCGCGTCCCCTCTGGGCGCCCTTCCTTCCCTGAGTCTGTCCACATCCCCTGCGGTTCGCCTCAAATCTGCACCGCCCAACCCCAGAAACTTCCGCGCGCTTCTAGTCCTCGCATCCCCGGCCTCAAGGTGTCCTCTCCACCCGGCCCAGTCGCCCACCTCCCACCCCTGCAGAAAGCAACTTAGAGCCAGTGTCTGGGTCTTCAGGAGCCCAGGTGGGCATCAGGCGGGAGGGCGGAGCGGGATGGAGGCTGCGGGGCAGAACCGCACTCCAGGTTGCGCGCCCTGCCTGCGTCCTGGGGAGACTGCTAGGCGGCCGCTGAGTCCGCGCGCGCCCTCTCCCGGCCGCCAGGAACATCGTCTCCAGTTTCCGACCCTGAACCCGGATGAGGCCCTGCAGAGCGTTTGGTGCTGTCCAAGGAAAATGAGACCTCCAGGTGAAAAGTGAAGAGTCTGCGCACACAAGTGCCAAGCGGAGGATGCGTTATTACTGTTTTCTTCTTAACGATAAAACTGGGTGTGGACAAATGCTGGAGAGTTGGCATTCGCAGGCCATGGGTTGAACGTAACTTGCATCCTTGCAGTGTGGCAATCTCACTGCCAGAACTATGTCCTAGGAACATACAGGGCTATTTCAGGATTGCTTACAACCTGGAAGCAACGGGGATGTGTCTGGCCATTGGAGCTGGTGCTTTCACTCATCCCTGCAGTGGGCATCAAGCAGCAGAAACGATGCTGTGAGGGAAGACATTCGTAATACATTATGAAAAAACATGTGTGGCCCGGGCGCGGTGGCTCATGCCTGTAATCCCAGCACTTTGGGAGGCCGAGGTGGGCAGATCACTTGAGGTCAGGAGTTCTAGACCAGCCTGGTCAACATGGCAAAAACCCGTCTCCACTAAAAATACAAAAATTAGCCAGGCGTGGTGGCCGGCACCTATAATCCCAGCTACTCAGGAGGCTGAGGCAGGAGAATCACTTGAACCCTGGAGGTAGAGGTTGCAGTGAGCCAAGATCATACCACTGCACTCCAGCCTGGGCGACAAGAGTAAAACTCCGTCTTAAAAAAAAAAAAAAAAAAAAAAGAAACACCAAAAATTAGTGGGGTGTGGTGGCGTGTGCCTGTAATCCCAGATATTTGGGAGGCTGAGGCAGGAGAATCGCTTCAACCCAGGAGGTGGTGGTTGGGTGGCTGCAGAGTCCAGATTGTACCACTGCACTCCAGCCTGGGTTACAAAAGTAAAATTCCATCTCAAAACAAACAAAACCATAACGTTTCCTTGAGCTCAGAGGCAGTTTTCAAAGGATGAGGACTGTATAGGAAGCCTCTTGGAGGCTCGCTGACTTGTCAGCTCATGTAGGGTAGCTGTGCTTTCTTCATCTCCCCTCCAGGAGGGGTGGAATCCAGGGGTCTAGGGCAGGGACTCCGGTTCCCTCATCCCCACCTCCTCTGGAAAGAACATGACAGGCAGGCCACATTCACTTTTGTCAGATTCCTCCCTGAGCCCACCCATGAGTTGCAGGCCCACCTCTCCCTCAGCAGAATCTTAGAACTACCATTCTTAGCAAGGCTGAGCTCCCTTAGTGCATGAGAACTATCAGTCTGAGAGGCTTCATGGAGGAACCGAGGCTTGGGTCAGTAACTAAGGCGCACTTTGGGAAGGCCCGGTAAAGACTGGGGTAGGGATATCCAGAGGTGGTGGCATCTGAGCTGAGCCTCAAAGGACCCAGAACCCTGGAATGTTTACAACATGCCCATGATGGGGTCTAGCAAACAGCTTCTTTTATTCTTGTTTGAAATTATTTTTCTGCTTACAAAAGTAATTTATACTTGATCTAAAAAAAAAAAAGAAAGACATTACACAATGTTGAAAGCAAAAATTCACCAGCTGGGCCCCAGAAGCCCTGTGTACAGAGAAGAGCCTGTGGCCCAGTTGCTGACCTGGGAGGATGCACCTGTTGTCAAGGTTACGAGGATGTGCCTGGCACCACGGGGCAGAGGACAGTTGAGTTCTCTCCGGCAGCCTCAGGAGGCCCCGCTGCTAATCCACTGTCTTCTTTTCCGCCTGCGCCTGCAAGAGAAGCAGGTGGATCAGACTGGTGTCAAAGGAGAAGGGAGAGCTGAGCTTCGCTGTTAGAGGAGTCTACTGGGCCTTGCTGTCACCCCAGCCAGCAGATATTCCAGGGCCAGAAGCCTCTGCCTAACTGAGAAGTGATTGCCACTGAGGGACTGCTTCCAAGGCCACCAGCCCAGGGCCACAAAAGAAAAAGAAATTACAAATTCTGAAAGCAAAAATTCACCAGCTGGGTTCCAGAAGCCCTGTGAACAGAGAAGAGCCTGTGGCCTGGCTGCTAAAATCATTTCCAGAAAACTTGAGGCCAAGTTTGGGCTGAGCACTTAGAAGCCGCAGCTATCGCCTCTGCCGGACTTGGGGTAGGGATGGCGGGATGGAGGGGTTGGCAGGGAGGAGGTGGTAGATGCCCGAGGGTGCCTGTCTGCAGAAGCCTTACTCTGACTTTCATCTGGAGAAGGTGGCTGTGCTCCAGTTCTCACAAAAGCACCATGGCCCCTGGCCTGGATGGATCCCAGCAGTGAGCAGCGGTCTCAAAGGGGCGAGGAGGACTGTGAGATGGCCTTATTTCACAGAAATCAGGGGAACAGACCCTGAGCCAGACTCCAACCCCCTCTGCCCTCTGCAGGGACCTCCTGGTGGCCTCAAGGTGGTGACTTCACTCCTCTGAGCCCTGCCTCCCACAGGCCAAGAGGACTGCATCCTCTGTGCCAGTCTGGCAGGAGAAGCCAGGGGGACATGCAGAGGCTCTCAGAGCAGGACTTGGTGGTAGGGGCTTCACAGTGAGAGCCAGGCACTCTCACCAGCTCTGGGAGGACAGGGTCCCTCTGAGTCCCTGAGCACTGCTTGCACCAGGCCTGAGACTCCAGCAGGGGGATGGAGGCCAAGGGGTCCATTAGGTTCCCTGAGAGCTCCAGGCTTGTGTCTGCAGACACTACTCTCTCAGGCGTTCTGGGGTCTCAGTCCCAGGGAAACTTTGGGGCTGTGACCCTCTTTGACCTCAGGCCACTCACCCCTCAATTTCCATCAGTGAGGCAGTGTCCCTGCACTGCTAGCAAACTGAAGGAACCCTAAGGGCCCCTTTTTCTTATAATGGGCTGCTAGGCTGAGTGCCTCGCTGACCCCAGGGGCCACCTGTTCAGAGGTCACAATCCAAGGCCAACTGCTATGGCTGTTTTTCCTCTCGGGGCATGGCAGAGCCCACTCCCAGTAGTGAAGAAACCCCAGCTCATCTTCCCACTCAATGCATAGCCCCCTGCCCCAGCTCTCTGGAACTTCCAACTCAAAAGGTGTACCCAGCCCATTTCTTCTGCTACCCAGGTTCCTGACCCTACTGCTCCCTGCTCTAGTAGAGCCCAGAGGCAGACCTCTGGTCCTGAGGACCTGCTGTGGGGCCAGTAGGAGGCCTGTCCTGTGGGGACAGCAGGACAGGACCTGGGCCACCCAAGGGAGAGCTGGGTACAGGGAAAGGGGCAGCCCTGTTCTCACCCTGTCTCTGCTACCATGCCCCACCTGGCTGTATCCCCCAAGTTTAGCTGAGAGAAAGGTCTAGTACATAGCAGAGGCAGAGCCAAGGGCCCCAGGGAGTGGGAGTGGGGGGTAAAGACACTCAGTCCATCCATCCCATCACTCCCACAGTAAAGCAGAGGGAATGATCCTGCCCCATCACCTCCAGCCAGCCCAAAGCAGCTAAGGCTACACCCCCAGCCCTACTCCCCCACAGGACCGATTTATATCTCGGTGAGCCCCGAGCTATATCTCCCTGGAGATATGGCTTGCAGGGGGTGACTGCTTGGGCAGAGGAGGCAGGTAGGGTAGCGGCAGTCCTGGGGAGCCAGGCTGAGGTTACAGCCTTGGTCTGCTGGGGGTCTCAACCTGTGTGCCTCAAGTCTCCAGAGCCCAGCCTGCACAGAGCTGCTGTTCAGTGGATGTTACTAAGTGACTGAACGAACAGTGAGTGAGACAAAAGGAGCTTTCTAGAACATGTGCAAAGGTGACCCATCAAACCCTTGGCCTTGGAGATGCTCATCGAGTAGCTGTGAGCCAAGACCTTGAAGCTGACAGCAGCCGCCTGTGGGCCCCACAGCAGCCTCAGATGCTCCCTTGTGAAGAAGCCAGTGGGCAGCTCATTCTAGAGTGGGGAACAGACGCAGAGAGACAAGGCTGCTCAGAGGCAGGGTTGGAGGTCAGAGTATGCCCAGGCCTGTGTCCTAAACCCCATGCTACTGCTCCCCATGCATGGTCAAAGCCAGGGAACAAGGAGACAGGGAGAAGGGCCTGACGAAGCCAGCACAACTATGCGGGCCACTCTGGGAGGTGCTGAGCTGTCCTGGAGGGGGCGTTGTGGAGCCTCACCTGGGTCCTGCCTGCTGCGTTTCTGCTCAGGCTCCTGTGGGGGTGCCTCGATGGCCCTCTGGGCCTCAGGGTGGGTCTGGAGGAGGGCCTTGGCAAGAGTGGCGGGGCCGGGCACCCCCAGGGACATGACACAGTGCACGCCCTTGCGCTTGGCCCCCTCCACCTTGGCGCTGTCTTTGGAGGCTGTGAGCAGGACCAGTTTGGAGAACTTTCTGGGCTTCCTCGGGGCTGCTGTTGCAGGGACGACGTCTGTGCCTGGCTTGGGAGATGGCTCCTGGCCAGCCTTCACGCTCTCACCCTCCTGCTCGTTGGACTCGGGCAGGGGCATCCCGGGACCCAGGGCCTGTCCTTCAAGCTGCACTCAGCCCCCAGCAGGTGGATTTCTCCTACTCCCAGGCAAGGAACCTGGAGTCCAGTGGTTCTGTCCTGAGGAAGGAAGCAAAATCCCGTCAGTGGAGGAAGCCCTTGGGCCAGGGCTCTAGATACAGAGCTGGGAAGGTGATGGGGCTGCCTCACTGCTCACTGGGGCCAAGGCTGGTGTGGGGCCTAATGGAAATAGGGACCCTGGCTTGTCCTTCTGCTCCGCCAGTTCCTTTCCTGGCAGCCTTGGGTACATCACCCTGCTCCGACCCCACTTTCTTCATCTGGAAAATGTACACAATAAACAGCCCTCACAAGGGGCCATCAGAGTGACTAATGACTAAGAGCTGAGCCATGGGCCTTCCCACGTGCTGAGCACAGACAAAGGGTTTCCACCTTCGTTTCCAGTCCCCAGCCCCGCCCCTATGTTTTGCAGCAGGCCGTTCTTATGGACCCAGTTACAGATGAGGACAGTAAGGCAGACACCCATGATATACCTGAGGCTGAAAAGGGGGGACACTGAGCCCCATTTCTGCTCAGATGCCTGGGGACTTGGCAGGACCTTTTTGGAAACTGCGCTTCACCAGGATGCTGGGCACCTATCTCAGGGATGTGGGCCTGGCACACAGAGCCGTTTTCAGAGGACAGCACCACATCCTGGCCTAGGGGACAGAAACTCCTTTCTGGGCTCCGGCAGACCAAGCCCCCGTCCTAGCCTGCAAGCAAGCCACGGGCCACCCCCACCTCGGGAGATGCCAGGGTCACACCATGGCAGTCACCTTGCACCTGAGCAGTTGCTGTTGCTGCCTCAGCTGGTCAGAGACAGGGCTGAGGCAGCGTCTGGAGAATCATGAGGTCACCGTGGGTTCCCTGGGTTCTAGCATAGAGAAGCAGAGGGCAGACAATGGGGAACCTAAGCAGGGCTGTGTGGAGGGGCCTGGGAGCAGTCAGCGGCAGTCATGGTGTTGGGGAGACACTGAGTGTGAGCAGATGGTGGGGTCTTTGCCACCTCTCAGCCTGTAATCGAGACTGCACTCCCTGACGTTTTTAGGGTCTTTACCCCCACCCCACGTGTTGCAGCTCCAATGCCCACTGGTCCCCCACTTTGCTCCAAAGTTCCCTGGCCTGGGAGCCTGGGCAGCTCTGAAGGCCCCATCCCCAGGAAATCACAGGTACCGAGAGGGCTGGCCCCACCACATCTCGCCCAGCCCCAGCCCAGTGCATTCCTCCATGCTGTCCTTCCGAGGCTGCTCATCCCACCCCACAGGGTGACACGAAGTGCAGGGGACAGAGGGCCAACCGGGGATCAGCTGCAGCAAAGACCTCGCCAGTGCCTCCAGAGCAAAGCCGCTCCAGGAAGGAAAGAGTTACGGCGGGAAGCCCCGCCTCCAGTGCTGACTGGCCCTGGCGCAAGTCCGTCAGCCACAGCCCGCATGGCTCCCACGCTCTGCGCTGTGGGGATAAATGGGAATGGATGCGGCTGAACTGGGAAGGAAGAGGCTAAGGGCAGCATGGGGCAGGACTGGATGAATGGGAATAAACGCTGACGGACGGACCGTGGACTTAGCAGGTTCCTTGACCCTGCACCCTCACGGCTCTCGGCTCCCGGCTCCCGCCAGGCCCCCGCCCTCTGGAGAAACTACCCGCTGTTCTGGGGCTGGCCAGGCCCCTAAGAGCTGCTGTCCTTACTGCCCGCCCTCCCCGTGGCCTCCCTCCAAGCCTGGCCGCTTCTGACAACGGCCTTCCTGACAACGCAGGCCGGCACAGCAACTCGCACAGTCCACCCCTCCAGCCGGTCCTGCAGGACTCCGGAGGGCAGGCGGGCAGGGGCCTCGTCCCAGCGGTCAGAGTGGAAGTGGGGACTGAAGTGAGCGTGGCCTGACACTCCCAGGGAGCTGTACCCAAGTCACGGGAGGTGACAGGAGAGAGCCCGGTCCTCCTGGTGAACAATTCCCACTTCTGTTTAAAGGGATTCCAAGACGCATGCGCTTCAACAGATCTGGAAAAAGTTCCAATACAAGAAAAGGCCCCGTCCACTGGCTTGTGGAAGGTTGATGACCTGTTCCCACTCTTGCCCACTGAGGCTCTTGGGTGGCAGATGTTGACCCACCACCACTCCACCCAATAAAGTCCACAGGCCCTTAGGCAACTGGGCTTTGTCTCCACCTGCCTGAATCTGGACTGGGTGGGGGGGGGGGCGGCGGCGCTTGCGTGACCAACAGTGTGGAGGGAGGGTAGGGTACACGTCTGCAGGCCTCACCGGCCAGAGCCCCAGACCTGCAGGGAAGGCAGCTGTAGGAGAGGCTACCTGCAGGGCACTGCCAGATTCCGGGAGACCACCTTATACCCTCCAGCCCAGCAGCCTCTTAGCTGTGTGCAGATGTGAAGGAGCCCCGGGACCCTACAGAACCCTCATCACCAGCGAATTCCTATTATTTTAAACCAGTAAGATCATGGGTTGTATGCTACACAACAGTAGTTGATACATTTGGCCAGTGACTCTACTGGGTTCCAGCTTTTCACTTTTTAGATAGGGCCTTGCTCTTCACCCAGGCTAAATGCAGTGGCACAATCTCGGCTCACTGCAACCTCCACCTCCTGGGTTTCAGTGATTCTCCCACCTCAGACTCCTGAGTAGCTGCAATTACAGGTACCCATCAACATGCCTGGCTAGTTTTTCTATTTTATGGTAGAGACAGAGTTTCACCATGTTGGCCGGACTGATCTCAAACTCGTGACCTCAGGTGATCCACCTGCTTTGGCCACCCAAAGTGCTGGGATTACAGGCGTGGGCCACTTTGCCCAGCTGGTTCTGGCTTTTTGATAAAGGAATACTATGACCATTTATGAAATATCTGACAAAAGCATTTGTGAGCTCCAGAGGACCATGTTACACAAACACTGCATCCCCCAGACGGACGCACACAAAGGGCCTGTATCAATGTGGGAAACAAAAATCTGAAGTAGAAGGGACAGCAAAGGAGAATTATGCATTTTAAAACACCTGCACTGGCCAGGTGCAGTGGCTCACACCTGTAATCCCAGCACTTTGGGAGCCGAGGCGGGTTGATCACCTGAGGTCAGGAGTTTGAGACCAGCCTGACCACCATGGCGAGACCCTGTCTCTACTAAAAATACAAAAATTAGCTGGGCCTGGTGGTAGGCACCTGTAATCCCAGCTACTGGAGTGGCTGAGGCAGGAGAATCACTTGATCCCTGGAGGTGGAGGTTGCAATGAGCAGAGATTGCACCACTGCACTCCAGCCTGGGCAACAGAGCGAAACTCCATCTCAAAAATAAAAACAAACAAACATGTGCAACATATGATGTGCCAGGCACAAGGGGACAAACACTGCCTGATTCCACTTGTACGAGGTCCCCAAGGCAGTCAAATCATGGGGACAGAAAGTAGAATGAAGGTGCCAGGGGCAGAAAGGATAGAACATGAGGAGTGTTTCCTGGGGACGGAGTTGCAGTTGGGGGAGGTGAAAAGGTTCCGGAGATGAACAGTGGTGACTGTAAACCAATGACCAGGAGGCTTCAACATTGAGCTCAGTGAGAACAGCTGGTCACAAAGACCAAGGGTTGTATGGTGCAATTTACATGAATTGACCAATATGGTAAATTTTAGGTCATGTATATTTAACCACACACACACACACACACACACACACACACAC